TCCTGAGGGGAAGAACTGCTGGTTAAGTGAAGTCTGGGGTTAGAGACACTGATAATGGTACGCCACAAGGAAAAGTGCTAAGTCTGATCTTGCTGCATGATTATGATAAATTGTGTGTTTGAGGAAAGTGGGTTGGGATTCATCTGAAAGAGACAGAACTCAAAACAAAGAACACAATAGAGATCATCCACAGCTAATGTGAACTGTATGTGTGTGGTGTCCACTGAGCAGGAGGCAGTTCAGATTACAGGATTGGATGCATAACCTCTTGAAAGTGACATTATTAACATAATTAAAAATATTTAGTTTATAATATTATATAAATTAAACGGTTTCTGGTTTCTTTATATAAAATCCTCTTTTTTTGGTGGTAATTAGCTCATTTTAGCAAACTAACGTTAAACTACAATGGTGAACATAAATAAATATTGCAGCTGCTAAACATCAGCACGTTAGCATGTGTTAGCATTAGGTAAAGCACTTTAAATTGACGTTTTGTTTAAAGGTGCTATACAAATAAACGTGCCTTGCAGTTCGCATTTAGCTAACTCAGAACTGTACTTTACCGGGATATTTACCATGGATTTGCAGGGGGGAATATGGAGTTATTTAGTTGATACCGATCACCAATAATGACCTGCATCTCATGGCTGATACAGATAAAAGGGTAAGAAATGTTGAGATGCAGTGAGCAAAAATTGTTGACTTAATATTCTATAACTGAGATCACTATTCTTAATAAAACAACAGTTCTGACTCTTCAAATGAAAATCTAAATATTTGACAAACATAATTTTGCTTTCATCGAACATAAAGCCTGAAGAATTAAAGGACACAAAACCTGGAAGAAATGTAATGCTGCAGAAAGTTGCTCTCATGCAAAATGTATTTTAAGGCATTCCTGTTGAGAAGTGGAAATTATGGGAGGAGGAAATGGGAATTTACACACTTGCCAGTTTATTAGGTGCACCTCAATAAAACTGCAGTACAACAGTTCTGCAATAAATCCTTCCTTTATAAAGGTCATAATGTTCAGAGGTCCAGATTGAATATAATATCGTTTTGGAGGCTGCAGTTTGTGACTCTGGTGAATTCTAGTGGGATGAATGCTCCCTTTCAGGAAAAAGTGTCTTATCTTCAATCTATATCCAAAGTTCAACATTTCTTTTGTGCTCCATTACATTCCAGACATGCAACATGTGTCAAAACAGCCCAGTATCAAGTCTTATTTATCAGCACTTTATGCAAATCATTTACATTTGTAGTCTTAGTAAAAACCTCCCTAAATTAAACTATTACAATGGCAACAAGTTAGTAAATATCCCCTTAGTCTTGTTTCATTTGTTCCCCCCTTTTTGGGCCAAAATGTAATAATATGTACTTTTAAATGTATTCATTTGGCAGATGCTTTTGTACAAAGAAACGTAAAAACGAAGTGCAATAAACTCCTTCGAGAATAAAATGAGAAATCTTGTGAACTAGTGGGCAGACAGCCATGAAATTGAGCGTATTCCTGAGAGGCAGTCAGACAGACCATGGTTGGAACCACTTTACTGTCATAGACATGTAGAAAATATCCCAGAGGGCCCATAACTTGCAGGTAATTGCTGAGCTAATTACTGTATATTGTAAAATAATAGAAACATTGAGGAATGACGGGGACTAGTAGACACACGTATGACGGAGCGGCTCTCTCCTCGGAAATCTGCCTCGAGGTTTAGAAATATCACTTTGAGGTATTTATCTGCATCAAGGCTTTCATCGGCACTTTATCCACCTTTCATCGGTTACTGCTGCTAATTCACATTTAGTTATATCCCAGAACTTTTTGTTTTAACGTACAGCAACGCGTGTTCTAGGGTGGAAAAGGTCAGAATCGATCATCTGTGTATGTACTGCAGCTATCTATGCATGTATTGTTTCAATATAAATCAACTTTATTGATGCAGGACTGAACTTGATCAAACAGATGTGGGTGAGGTTAACTTTTTCTCTTCTATTTCCACTGTTTGTTCTGGATGCCCGAATCGTCCCCACAGGGCTCACTTAATGTTTCATCTTAATGACAGACAAGGACAAAAAGTATTGATGAAGTGTCAAGACACCATTTATATCAGAGAAAAAAGACAACATAAAAATGTTTTCCCACATAAATCAAATAACACCACAGAGTGCGACTGTTTTATTTGCATTCATCTTTATTAGTAGATCTGAGTATAAATGTTTGGCAGTAAATAAAATTAGTTTTTTTGTGTTTAGCTTCAGTCACTGGGGGAGGGGAGGGCGTAGTGCCACACAGACATAAAAATGACGTAACACATACCACCCACGCACACACACACTGCCCTGCAGCTACAGCCTGACATGAAGACACACACACTCTTACATTCACACACACACACACTCAGCTGAAACACTCCATGCTGGCCTTGGCTCTCTCCATCTCGTGTAGGAAGTTGTAAAACTGAGGGAGTGTCAACTCTGCAAGACACGAGGGAAGAAAACAGGAAACAGTTCGTACATAAACAGGCTGACATTCACTGAGTGCTGCAAAAAAATAAATAAAAACGCTTTCACACTTTGGTATAAACAATAACGTTTCAACTCGTTTCATTTGTTTGACTGGTTGCTCTTTAAAAAGGGACAAGAATCCCTGGAAGTGAAGAATTTGAAATGTCTGCTTTGTTGGGAATAAACAGGAGAACCGAGTAGCTAATGTAAGTGGCTGAATGAACAGATTTAGAGCTACCTCGAAAGGACACTAGATGTATTTAGCCATCCATACAGTTTTGGTTAGATAAAGTTTTACCGCGAGTTTCCCATTTATAAACATGATGATGATCAAGATGCAGCAGGGAAGGTAGTAAACTCACTGTCACAATATTTATATTTGGACTTTTCCAGTGTTAATATGAACCTACTTATCATTCCAAAACTCTTTTTTTTACAGCCTCATGTTGAGAGACATCTGAATTTCTTCAGCTGCTGGCAGTGGAAGAGCACAGAAGTCACGCTAGCATTAAAGACAAAAAGTAGCATGTATATT